CCCACTAGCCTCTGGCTGGTCTGCAGAGTTCACAGAAGCCAGCTGGCTGGCTCGTTTTGGGTGGGAACCCAAGAGAGCTCGGCCAATTTCCCCACCTGTCCACCTGTGGGCACGCCCTTAGGTGCTCTCCTAGATAATCAGCCCCAGTAAACACAGATAAGATCCTACCGGCCTTTCTCCTGCCAGGTTAGTTCCTCAACAGCTCCCCTGATAGCTCCTAGCTCCGGGTGATGTCTGGATCCAAGGTGGTGCCCCGAGGTCACAGGGCTGTGGTGGGGGTTGAGATGCGTGGTTGTGGAGCTGCAAGGGGGGTGGGGGAAGGGGAGGAAAGCAAGGGAATAGGGGACAAGGAGCGCAGGGGTTGGACACTATCACCAAGAGGTGGGGACGGGGCTTGTGCGCTGCTGGGGGTTTATGCAGCAGCCAGTTGTATCTTCTTTTGTTAAACTGATTATAGGATGAGAGGGGAGAAATACTGTCAAAAAATCCAGGAAGGGGTGTGTGTGTGTGTGTGTGTGTGTGTGTGTACACATGCATGTATATAGGAAGGGGTGTGTGTGTGTGTGTGTGTGTGTGTACACATGCATGTATATGCACATACACAAACACGCAAAATCCTCTTGGTGTTAGAACATTGCCATTTGACAAACATTAGTCATTGCAAATAAAACTCAAACATTTAACTGTTTTATTTGCTTATGTGACACTAGCAAACCCCACTGGTATTTCAAGGATTTCTACTATTGCTTATGGAAAGAACACTGGACTTGGAGTAAAATAACTTGAAGACATATTCAGAGAGATATTGTGATTTATTCATGAACCAAAGCCAATACGTTTAAAAAAACTAGAACTTGAACATGGTCTCTATTCCAAAACAGTAGTCAAATAGAAAAAGAATTCTTTTCCCTCTCTATGGTTGCAGTATTTATCTCTCAAAAGATAATTTTTTTAAAAAAAACAGCAACAAAACCAAAACTCATTGTCTTGTTAGAAGTACATCCACGGTAAATCTCACAAGAGGAGATCGCCCATCTTTTTCCTGTGAAGCAGATGATGGATTGGTTAAAGGGAGGACTGCGTTTGAGTTAGCAGTGCAGCTGCCTGCGGGCTTTCTTGCATTTATCTCTTCTTGTTGTTGTTATGTGATTGTGGCAAATCAATTCATTTCCTAGGATGTAATACCTAGTCAGTGTGGACTGATACAGCCATGGGCTGGGAATAAGGATTCTCCGATTCCAGTTCTGCAATTCTCTCTCGTCGTGAATGTGGATTCATCTGTTAGGTCTTGCTTTTTGTGCCTAAAAATTAGCACAGATCATCTCAAGACTCCTTTTTAAATTTCCTATATGCATAGTTATCAATTAGATTCTTAACTCTTCAACATTGTAGCTATCAATTAGATTCTTAACACTTAAACATTATGCTTTTTTTTTGCAAGTAGAGGATAACCTTGTACAATAAAATTTGGTTGGGAGTGGGGCAGAATCAACAGGGAGAAATGAACTTTTGTAACCTTTGTTTTGATTGGTGCAGGACACGTACGTATGTCACACCATTACACAAAGCTTTGCCATGGGCTCCATTTCCCCCAGAGACTTCGTTGACGTGGTCCACATCAAGCGCTATGAAGGCAACAGAGTGATCATCAGTTGTAAGTGGAACCATTTTGTTCACATTTTGAAATTACTTTGTGACTAATAAGGTTCCTTTAATTGACAGTTTGGAAGAAACTATATTTCAATTGTTTTTATGTTTTTATTTAATCAGGGGGCCCAACAAAGCAACAAGTCTGATGTTTCTTGCAACTCCAGAGGTGTCATTTACATCATGCTGTTATTGTTGAGTGCCGTCGAGTCGTAGGCGACTCATAGTGACCCTATGATCAAAAGTCCTCAACACTTGTGTGATTTTCATCTTTTCTCCAGGTTCATAGGGTTTCTGGAGGCAAGCTATTTATGGAAGTGGATGCCACTCCTGCTTCCAAGCTTGTTTTAATCGGGATGTGCCACCCAACACTGTCCACCATGGGTAACCATTATCGCATTTGACACATCAGTGCCACAGTGTTCAGCTTCACAACCACAAGTTACCACTGTACAGCAAGTGGACACACCAGGGCTATATGACCTAGAAGAATGTTTGAACAAAAACAATGAAAAACAGGCCTGAGGGTCGTGGATTAGAAGTCACCCACCTTTGGCTTGGTAGCATCACTTTCTCTCCGCTAGGTCAACTGATCTCTATGTTGGTGTTATTGTTGTTAAGTGCCGTCTGGTCATAGGCGACTCACTGCGACCCTATGAATGAAAGTCCTCAACACTTGTGTGACTTGCATCTTTTCTCCAGGTTCATAGGGTTTCCAGAGGCAAGTTATTACGGAAGTGGATGCCACTCCTGCTTCCAACATTTAGATCGCACCAATCTTAATAAGAATCATAAGAAAATATTAACAATAATGGGGGTCTGGTGGTGGCTTAGTAGTACAGAGTTGTGCTGCCAACCCAACTCCACCAACTATTCCGTGGGAGAAAGACGGGCAGTCAACGCCCATGTGGTTTACAGCTGCTGAAAACCTGCTGGAGGGTCAGCTGTGAGTTGCTTCTGACTCCACAGTCCACAACTATCAGATTCTGGAATTTCCTGGATTTGGAAAACATACACCCTCGATCACTGAGTATAGAAAGACAACACTTGTAGGCTAACACGTCACTGCATTGTTGTTGTTATTATGTACTGTTGAACTGGAACCGACCCATAGCTGACCCTCTGGTTGGTTTTCAGAAGGAGTTAATCGTACAGGAGGAGACTGCCCGTCCTTCTCCTGTAGAGCAGCTGCTGGATTCGAACTGCACACCTTCATTATTGCAGCTTCTTGCCACCAGCGCTGGGCCAACATGTCTCTATTCACATTCTAAAATTTCAAAGGAACAAAACCAATTTTTTCATAATATAATGTTTTCATTTCTTTGAATGAGCATAGCCAGTAACTATAACTATAACTACTGATATTTCTACTAGATGGATTTTCATATAAATATGATCATAGAATTTCCTTTAAAAACTGGAGTTCCTAATATATTTCAAGTCCTTGTCACAATGTGTCACTCTGTAAAATAAGCAAATGTGTGACCCTTTCCTAATTTGCATTATTTGAAACATAACAGCTCTGACCATAACAATCTCTGGACTCAGACACCTGAAGAAAGTTCATAGTGAAGGGACTTTGGTAGGACTTTGGCATAAAAACTCCCTGTACAAATACCTAGAGGTGGAGGACTCCTGAACAAATATCTAGAGGTGGAGGCAATTAATTGTATTAATTATTATTTTCTAGCAAAGTTTCAGGTCCTCTGACATGTTGGTAATACTCCTACAGAGTCCAGATGAAGTCAGAGTTTTCCTAATACATTCCAGCTCCAGTTCGGTCTGTTTCACAGCAGGCCACTTGGAGTCCCTATTCCCAACAGTCTATGAAGATGTTTTTAAAGGGAGGGAATAGAAAAAGTTATTCGCTACCTACAACACAAAATATAGATAGTATCATAGGCCTGTTATCTTCCATCTTTTGAAAGTAAACTGTTTGTATATTATTAGTAATCAGAGAAGGTAAAAATACAACAAAGTAAAAGGTTAAAATCACTGTTCCAGTAATTAGCCACTCAGTACACAAATCATGACTGAATTTGCTGCAAATAATTTCCTTTAAATGTATCTTTGATGAAGATGGAGTCCTCTTCATTTTTTTTTCCAACTTTACTTTGTATCCTACTACCCCACCTACCTTATAGTGAATGCATTATTATTCGCTAATGAGAATGTTGACACTCGTAGATGTTAAGCAGTTAAATTAATGAGTAATGGATACCTGAAGCAGAATGAAATCTTAGGTATTTTCTAATTTTCCAAAATCTCTGATACTTACCACCCAAAATGTCTCACAAAATACCCAATCTGATGGTGGAAAACACAGCTGTTTTTAAAATAAGATAAATATAATTTCCACTTTCAAACACAGACCAAAAAAAAAAAGTTAACATCACACTCTCAGGACCATGTTGTCACGCAGAATAACAGCTTCTGTGAAGAAGATGCAGATCAACTAGTGGAAAATGAGAAACTAATTCAATCACATTTGTCTCTAAGCAACCATTTAACATTGTATTCCCCCAAAGAATCGATAGCTTATTTTGCAATTACACAGGGAACAAACTCCATCTTCTCTGACAAGAGCAGAACTCAGTTGAACAAAATGAAAAGATACATACATACGTATATATGTATATTGAACCATTTTGTTCACATTTTGAAATTACTTTAAAATAACTAATGATGTTCCTTTAATTCACAGTTTGGAAGATATGATATTTCAATTATTTTTATGTTTTTATTTAATCAACTTTATATATATATTAGAATGGTAGGTAATATATAAACTTAAGAATCAAAATCCTTCTCTTCTACATTCACGTGCAATACAGGTATTATATCACGTAGTTCCGTAAGCAAGTGTTACCATTTTCCCCCCATTATATTTTGAAGTTAAAGAGTTGGCAGAAAGGGGGAAGTTCATTTTAAATTTTCTTATTTCTATTTGACAAAACATATAACTACTTTAAATACTTTTGAGAAAGGTAACAAAATTCTATAACCCCACTATCCAAAAAGATGTCATTGTCTTTCTAATTCCTTCTTTTGCTTGCTTAAAATCACAGCAGATAGTTAAATGGCCCTTTAAGTTTTTCCTTTACAAGAAAAGGTAGCTGTATCTTTAGAAATACCAGAATAGAAAAAAAAAAACCTTGAGAGAGCACTAGAACCTACTGGCATTTTCTAATTTTTTTTTCCTTGAATGCATGTTCCTATGCACAGCCATGCATGGACATGTATAAAAGCAGTGCTTATGCTGACAAGAAGTAAGTTAAATGTCGACTGGTTAGCAGTATGCTAGAGGAGAAACAGGTTTTCACTGTAGTAGGTTAGGAAAAGTTCATCGTAGAAAAGTTCATCGGAACTTCTTTTAATCACTTAGCCAACAGTGTGGAATTTCCAGGCTGTCCTCCATCTTCAGCTTATATCCGTGGTTACAACTATCCTTGTGGTTATGTCTGTACACCTCTGCGAGAGTAAGTATTATTTGCATTTACTTATTTTAAAATTTTTCTAGTTCAAGTTTTACATGTTCCCACTAAACTATTCCTGGCTCACTGAAGCACACTCCAGCATTTTCTGGCAAGAGGGAAGCCTGCCCTTAAATGCAATTTTTAAAACTGTTTTAATAGTTATTTACATGTTTGTATAATGCATAGGTAATATGCATTATACAATGACTGATAGGTAATAAAAGATTTGAAAACATAAATCTATTTTACTAGGATGAAATGTAAGAGGAAAAGAATAAAGACTTTAGGGAAGTCTACTCTTTTCATTTTTATAGCTAGAAATGAAGGAAACTTGTAAAGAGTAGAGTTTCAACCTCTTGGAGGCTTTCTGAGTTACGTACCAAGAATTACATCTTGGTGTAATAGGAATTATAAGAATTATATGAAGAAAATGACAATCTTCATTGGGGGCCAATAGACAACATCATGATAATTGGAGAAAAGCTTGAAGCTGTCAATAATTCCATCATACTTGAATCCACAATTAATATTCTTGGTACCAGCAATCAAGAAATCAAAAGACATATCACATTGTGGAAATCTGCTGTTGGGGCCTCTCCAAAGTGTTAAAGGACATCAGTTTAGAGACTGAGACATCCTTGGTTCAAGCCATGTCTTTTGGATTCCTTGCTCTGCATCTGTTGGACAGTGACTGTGGATGACATTAGAAGCACTGATGCCTTTGAGTTGTGGTGTTTAAGAACAGCACTGACTATGCCACGGACTGCCAAAGAAACACACACGTTCCTAGAGAACGTGTGACCAGGGTGCTCTTTGGAAGCAAGGAGGGTGAAGCTTCATCCCACATACTTTGAGCATATTTGTTAGGGGTGACCAGTCCTTAGAGAAGAATATCATGTTTGGAAAGGTGGAGAGGCAGCATAGAAGACGACCCTCAACAAGAGAGATTGACACAGAAACTGTCACAATGGGCTCAAGTAGATGGGAGATGGGGTGGACGGCACAGGACAGCACCAGGTTCCGATCTGTCGTTCATAAGTTCACTACGAGGCACAACTGGCTCGACAGGACATAACAATTCTGTTGTCAAAAGTTTTTAATAATGCACAACGACTCACGTAGATCTTTCCATTTTGTTCGAAGTATGAAAGACATGGCTAGAACAAAGAGAGTTTTCCCCCTCCCTCTGTCATTAGTAATTTACTTTTTCATCCCAAAAGATCAGATTTACTCATTGATACTTCAAAGGTTTTTCTATGCTAGGCATATTTAAAAAAAAAAAATCCCCAAGAAGGAAAATTCTTCCCCAAACTGAAAATCACTTTAAAACACAGTCTGATAGGGGAGCTCTGGTGGCCTAGTGGCAAGAAGCTGCAACTACAATCCCAGAGGTGCACGGTTCGAATCCACCAGATGCTCTGCCGGGGAAGGAGGGACAATCTCCTCCTGTACCAGTCAGATCTGATTTGACGGTACACGCACACAAAAATAAAAAAATAATAAAAAATAAGAAAAAACCCAAAAAACACAGTCTGACTACTTAACATTCTTAATGTTTTTATGTAAAATTTTTCTAAGGATGTGTTTACAAATCACTCTTTTTTACCTCCCTCCATCCTTTGTCCAGCTATTACCCCACGACATGTACAATGAAGAGCACAGATTTTTAGTTAGATGAGAATCTTGCTCCCCATAAATCTGTAAATTCAATAGGTAAATGTGAGAATTCTTTATCAATTTTTAACTCTTTTCTTTGCCTCCAGGAGCCCAGCATATTCTAAACTAATGATGTTTGTCCAGACAGACATGAAAGGAAAACTGTCTCCATCAATAATTGAAGCGACTATGCCCTCCAATTTAATAAGCTTCATAATCAACGCAAAAGATGGGATAAAGGCATTTAGATATTCAAACAATCACAAGAGTCTTACATCATTCGTAAATAAGAAATGAAGCCATTCTATAAAATCATGTTCAGCACTGACCACAGTTTCCAATGTGCATAAATGCTGCTAAACCATTCTAAGCAATATTGTTGTACACATTACTGAAGGTACTTTGTAAAAATATGAGCTGTGCAAAATGACAACAATAAATATAGTTTTCAATCCCAGATGAGAATGTTGCTAACTAGCAATTGTCATTGATACACTTGGTATCTTTCGCTTTTTTTCCCATTTAACATGTTCTGAATAAAATAAGAAAGCTGATATAGTCTGAAGTATTAATTAAAGATTAAAAAATAGATTTAGATTGTTTTTCCACTTCACTTACTGCTTAAGCTGAGAACTATAAGCAACGCAAATGCAAAATACAGAAAGAATTCAGCCAGAATACTTGACTAATGACATGTAAAATTTAAAACAAAGGAAGTCATGCACTGACTTCTGGGTCTGGCTAGGATGTGAAAGCTCTCAACCCTCCCAAGTGCTTCCTCTTACAACCAGACACCCTGCAACATAACACAACAAACATGCGCACACAGGAAGTCTCCAGGGCGTCGGGGACAAAGGTGGCAAACTGCCGAGAGACTTGGGACTCATTAGAGCAGTGAGGTGTGTCCCCCGTCTCCCCTAGCTCCTGCACAGAGCAGTACAAAACACTTCCACCTGGAATTATCCACAGGCACAGACTACCACGCCTCCCAAAACGAGTGGGGGGAAAAAGCCAATTCCCTCCATTTTCATCTAAACAAAACTCCCATTCTCTTCTAAGCATAGGATGACAAAATTAGCTATTTAATAGAAATATGTTTGGGCAATATCTCCTGTGCCAATCAAACATAAATCTCAGTGTTCCCCACTCCCTGTGCTTTCTGGAGGGGAGAACAGGGAGATGATCTACTCTACACCCCATGTTGATAGAAGCCTTTGGAAGCACTCTGGAACTCGCAGCCGGTCATGGTGGTGAGCTGAGGAGGGAGTTACTTCCACCTTCTACCAGCAAAAGCATCTGGTTTCCTTGCCAGGTGGTGCAGGCTGCCCAAGTGGGGAGTTGACCTCTCATTCCCCACCTGGCAAGGCAAATGGTGATGCTCTCACTTCCCTGCTGGGGGAGAGTCAGTGAGGCCCAGGGGCAAGAGGAACATACCCTCTTGTAGCATTTGTTACAGCAAAATTGTTACAGTCGTGGAGCTCCATTTGGACATATATCTAGGCAAAGCTATTCCTTAGAAAGGGACATCGCTGGGAGCTCTGGTGGCCTAGTGGCAAGAAACTGCACTGCAATCCCAGAGATGGTGCGGTTCAAATCCACCATATACTCTGCTGGAGAAGGAAGGACAATCTCCTCCTGTACCAGTCAGATCCCATTTGGTGGTACACACACTAAAAAGAAAAAGAAAGGGAAATCATGCTTGGAAAGATGGTCAGTGCAGGAGAGGAAGACTCCCAATGGGATGGACTGACATGATGACTTCAGCAATGCGCTGAGTGTGTCAGAGATGAAGAGGATGGCACAGGACAGGGCAGGGTTCGGATCAGCTGTTGAGAGGGCCGCTGTGAGTTACACTCGACTCGGTGGCACCTAAGAGCAACCTCAAAGCACTGCTAGTTACAAGTCACCTTAACCTTCGCTTAGTGTGATGCCACTCAGTCCCAGCCGGAGCCAAGGTGCCACCTGACCTGGCATCCGGACATTAGTGTTAAACTCCAATATCAAATTTTTATTTAAAAGTCTGTTACATATAAATATGTTGTTGTTGTTGTTAAGTGCTGTCAAGTTGTAGGCGACTTATAGCGACCCTATGAACGAAAGTCTTCAACGCTTGTGTGAGTTTCATCCTTTCTCAGGTTCACAGGGTTTCCAGAGGTAGGCTATTTATGGAAGTGGATGCCACTCCTGCTTCCAAACTAGTATATAATCCCCCCCCCCCACTGCTGACATGTCAGAATGGACTCATAACTGACCCTGCAGCAGGTTTCTGAGGCTGTAAATCCCACAGAGGATTGCTCATCTTTCTCCTGGGGAACGATTGGTGTAAGTAAACCACCAGAGAGGCCTGGCCATTGAGTCAGCAGTATGACTCCTGAAGCACCATGCCACCAGAGCTCGCTTTACACACACACACACACACACACAAAATTTGTTATCTTTCTGTGTGTATATATACACACACACATGTTGTCAGAGACCTCTCCAGAGACTAAGGTGCACCTAATCCAGGCCATGGTCTTCACAATTACTTGTTATGCTACAGAGAGCTGGAAAGTAACTAAGGATGACAAGAAGAATCAATGCCTTCAAGTTGTGATGCTGAAGAGTCTGGAACATACCATGGACCGCCATGAAAACAAATAGGTCTGTCTTGGAGAGGGTGAAATCAGCTTTCTCCTTGGAGGCTAGGATTTTGAAGCTCCATCTCACATATTTTGGGCATGTACCCAGGAGGGACCAATCCTTGGAGGACATCACACTCAGAAGGGTAGAGGGACAGTGCAGGAGAGGAAGACTCAGAATGAGATGAATTGATACAGTAACCGGGGCAATGGGAGTTGGTGTGTCAGAATTAGTGAGACTGGATCAGGAAAGAGATCAGAGCTGCTGTACATAGGGTCGCTATGGGTCATAGGTGACTAGATAGCACATAACAAAATATACATACGTGTGTGTGTGTGTGTGTGTGTGTGTGTGTGTGTGTGTGTATAAATACATTGCTTTTCACACTGGACCTTTCCCCTTTACCAATCCCTCCCTCCACCATAAAATTGTATGACCCTATGGTTAAGCCCCGGCCTTGGATCCTCATACACACTCTACAATAATGGTCCCATACAGTATTGTCTTTACAACTGAGTTAGTTCACTTGGTATAATGCTTTCCAGTGCCTCCCATGTTAGGCAGTAACTTACCAAATCATTGCTCCTTCGTGCTGCATAGCAGTATGCCATTGTTTGAATGTACCATAATTTCGTAAACCATTGGATTGTGGTTGGATATTTGGGCTGTTTCTGTGTTCTTGCGATGGCGAATAATGCTGTTATGTCAATTTGTGCCTCACTTCTCATTTTCTTGGGTGTTTGTTATTTTTATAAACAGATCTGAACCCCGTCTTAATCCTGTGCCATCCTCACAATCTCTGAAAACCTTGAGTCCACTAAAGCAGTCACTGTGTCCATCCACCTGGTCAAAGGTCTTCCTCTCTTGCCCCGACCCTCCACCTTTGAAAGCAGGATGTCCCTCTCCACGAAATAGCCTCTCCTAGCAACATACCCAAAGTATGTGAAATGATGAAGTTTAGCCATCCTTGCCTCCAAGCGGCAATCTGCTGCACTTTCTCCAAGACATGTTTGTTCTTTTTGCAGTCCATGGGATAGTCAATACTATTCTCCAACACCACAGCTCAAAAGCATCAAATTATTCTTCTGCCGTCTTTATTCATTGTCCAGCTCGCAGAGGCAAATCAAGTTATTGAAAAGACCATGGTCTGAATCAGGCACACCGTAGTTTTCAAACTGGCATCATTGTTCCCCAGTAATTTGTATATCTACTTAATTACATTTATATATATGTAGTTGCCATGTGCCATTAAGTTGGCATCAACTCATAACTGACCCTCTAGAGAGTTTTTAGAGGTTCAATCCCAAGGAAGGAGATTGCTCATCTTTCTCATACAAAGCAGCTGAAGGATTCGAACTACAGATCTCTGGGTTGGCAGCACAGCTTCGTACCACTGAGCCACTGGAGCTCCCCATGCTGTTTCTGGAACTCACATTCTTCCCCTTAACCAAAGGTTGTCATTTTCATTGGGTTTACCCCCCTTTCAGTTCTTTATGACTGCAATAAGCCATCTTCACAGCAACTTTCCTTATGTTTCCAAAGTGTACCTTCCAAAATATATTTGGATCAAGGACTCTACTTCAGTGCCCAGCCAGTGTAACAGAGGAAATGTCACTGTATCCTGAGGTGAGAGAGGGTGAGATAGCAGTAGAGAGAGAAAAGATCTCATCTCCCTCTCTTCAAGTATGTCTGTTGCTATTTAATGAAGGCTGCAGTCAAAGGTTTAATGACTTTTCAGATCTTCAGTAAGTATCCCAATTCTGTTGTCTCTGCAGTAAGTCAGTGTGGCCAGACAGAGTTCACCAACGACATCCTGGACCGTTGCGCCTGCCAGCAGGGAAAAGCCACTCCCTGAGAGGACAACAGACCATTGCAAGGATTTGCACCAGTCCCATGGCACTGCTAGACAATGCCAGCCATGCAGACGGTGCAACCCCAAGTCCCTGGGGGCTTGCAATCCTGGCACCAGCCAACCAATCCCAGGAGAGCAGGCTGTCATTCCCCCAAGGCTGCAGGGCTGCAAACAGGCACACGCACGTCACCTGAGATCAGCAGCTTTCCTCTTCATCATCAACTCCTCTACCAGTTACAGTTACAAGGGAACTGGTTCGAATCCCTCTTTCCAGTGCCATTGCTTGTGTTAGAAACGGACATAAATATTGTCTAAAACCATGACTGTAGAATGAGTATAAAGATCCAGGAGGGGTGGGAGAGTCTGGAAGCAGAGGGACATGGATGTGCAGGGGGAAGAGGGGATTAATCACTGGGTTGTACAATCTGATGGCGGGCGGTGAGAGAAATTAATTTATATTCAAATTTGTATTTGAATTTTGTAAATAAACTAGTAGGGGGGAAAAAGAACAATGGGCATCTAGGATACTTCTGAACCACCATTTTCTGTGACTCCAAGAAACTCTCATACTAACCTTTCTTGCTGAGCCCTTAGCAGACTACTGATATTTTAATCACATTAGTTAATCCCAAGGGGAGCTCTGGTGGCCTTGTGGGTAAGGAGCTGAACTGCTAACCTAAAGTCAAGCAGTTCAAATCCACCAGCAACAGTCCTGCAGGAGGAAGATAGGCAAATTTCCTTCTGTTGTGATTTACAGCCTTTGAAAACCCACAAGAGGGTCAGCTAGGAGTCAATTCCAACTCGACAGCACACACCACCACCA